CATCTAGATAAGTTTCGAGTAAAATGAATCTCTGGAATTTGGCAGCTCTACAAAACGTATGGGACAATCCAACAGCTATTACTTTAATCATTACAAAAGTGAAAAAAATTGAAAATCACCAATCTTGACCACGACAAAGAAACTTAATGGGGCAGACTGTTCCACTTTTTGACACAAATGTTTTGAACATCCAATGCATTAAAATATCAAACATACGACAGGTCAAGTAATAACCCAACTCACGCGCAAAAGTCGGTATGGGCGCAGCCATGTTTGCGGCAAGTAAATCTCGCAGAATTACGTTTCCGGCGTAACACGTCACCAATTTTGAAATATCAATGCGCCACCATCAAACTTAAAATTGAATGAATCAAACTCCTTCCACAAGCCTTAACATGTATATTATCAGTTACAGAATACACACATATGACTATTCATCAATCTAATTCATACCAAAACACCTTAAGTAAAAAGATCGAGTTGCCTAATATGTAATTTATTTCTCTGCGTAATCGACGGTAAGGCGGTCTTACGAGATTAGGAAGATAGCTTACTACGTGGGCATTTAAAACCTCCAGCAGTTTTCAACAAGATTCTGAACGTTTTGGTGTTCCGTCGAGTTACTAAACAACAACTCTAAACATGCCAGCCAAACAGAGGATGAGACTTGCCAATGACAAGGCCAGCAAAAACGTCACACAGAGAGGAAACGTGCCAAAATCTTTAGTAAGTTTTTACAAACGCAGTTCCCTTAGGCTTCTGCAACTACTGGTTTTACACAAGCGTCATCTAACATATGTCTTAAAGTTACCCCATTCGATTGGGCTTTTCGTTTGAATGAAGGTGTTAGTTTGTGTTGTGTTCATTACCCTGAACAAGAACGATAAATTGAAGTGTTGTTCACAAATTTGTAAACTAGTAGATGATTGATAGGCGACGTGTAACATCTAACTGAGGTCAGTGAAAAGTTTGGGATAAAGTTTGGTATGATCACAGAATGATACTCTCGTAAAAAGAAATAAGCCAGCTTTACATTCTGCCCCTCTCCTTTATGAATCTGTTTACTCCTAAAATGATCTCATTTCCCTGGGTAGAATTTAACCCAAGCAGCTGGATGTGTGTTACTTAGAATTATCAGGCATAATCAGCAGTCCATATCAATCATCTACCATGACCAGTTCTAAAATATTGTTTTGCTCACCATTTTATGCTTGTTGTAGTTTTTCTTTCTTGTCAATCCATGAAAATAAATCTTAGTGAAATGGTTCTTCCAATAACACCTGAGACCATAAGAATGGCTTTAACTAAACTGAGCCTTTTTGCCTTAAGATCCCTTAGTATTGAAAAATTAATTAAAATGCTCCTGTTTAGTCTGGTATTAAAAGATTATTATGTAATATTAAAGTGCCAACTGAGAATCGTTTGATGGCAAGAGTAAATTGGACTGTGAAATACTCATGGGATTTTCCATCCATGATGATGAGAGTTTGTATATTGGATATTCTTACAGCTATTTTTCTCTGTTTAATCTTTCAGAAACCCGAGGAGGATAAATACCCAGTTGGACCATGGCTAATAGCTTTGTTTGTGTTTGTTGTATGTGGCTCAGGTAAGTTGTTGTCATGTTCTTTATTTTTGATTCATTTATTTATATTCAGTGTGGTAACTCACACCAATGGTTGCCGAGTTCTGTGATAGAAAAATTTTTCTCAGTTGGCTTTACTGGTGCAATAGAAACATGCAGATACACATTTACAGTTGTTCTTCTCACTTGCTAATACTCATGCTAGATGAACATGCATAAATACACATGTTCTTACAAGATGAACATGCATGTGTGTAGGTGTAATACATATACAATAGTTCACATTTGCTATGCTCAAGCAACATACATATGCAAGCAACATGTTCGTGAAGCAAATATATCACTTAGTTTGGATAAAAAGAGATTTTAACAGTAGAGAAAATGTTCACCTGAGCAGATTTGTTACTTTGAAGATAAAAGACTGTTTGTGAGTGATGTAATGGACTGCTACTGATATGCCTAATTTGAATCCCAAATTACCACTAATTGCTGGCATTACTTTATCAGGAATAATGCCGTCTTTTTATCTTTTGTCCACATAGACAAGAACTTAATAGCACATTGTCATAGTAATTCATGTGTTGCAGATAAGTGGATATGAGGTCCCTTGCATTTTCATCTTCTGATATGAATTCTATCAGTCTGCCAAATAGCTCAGAATATTACCTGTTGAATAATGGCTTTGGTTTAAAAGTTGGTTTTAACTTTTGGACTACAATTTTGCCTGCTCAGACCTAAGGGAAATCAATGGCAGTCTCTGTGAATGAAATTTTGTGCTTATTTTACAGCACTAAAGACTCCAGTTGTGTTTCAAAGCAATACTAATTTTATTTTTCAAGTGGATTGCTTAGGGTTTAGATTGTCTTGTACTAAATGGAGGTCAACATTTATGATCAAAAAGTTCAATTCTATGTTAGGCTTAATTTATTTTGTGAAAAAGCATACTTAAAGGTCATTTAGCATTATGGTATTTAAAAAAGAGAGATGAATTTTGGAGCCTTCTTTTAAGATGTACTTTGTCAGAGGTTTATTTTTAAAAGAGACATTAAATGAATTCATTATTCACAATTTTCAGTCAATAATTGTTACACTGTATAGAAAAAAATTAGTGAACAGAAATTTATTTTTCAGTTTTTGAAAAAAATTGTTTTTATAAATTAAAAAGAGTATTGTGAGAAATGATTTTAAAATGTCATTATTTTTCTCTCCCCAGCTGTGTTCCAGATCATCCAAAGCATTAGGTTTGGATAAGACCTCGGACTCAATGACCCTCAACAGCCTCCGTTACACCATGGATTGCAAGGACTACGAATACAAGAATACGACTCTATCACCAGACATTGACATCATTTAATCATTTGTGAGACAGAACGTTTTATTACCAAAAGTTTCACAAGAAGAACTTGTATATATAGATATTTATAAGTGTAAGAATGAAACCCACTGCTACTTGTGCAGGGAGTTGTTAAATGCAATAGCTAATAGACTGGCCATCGTGACATTTCTTCAAAACTCCTGGATATTGAAACAGGCTGCCAGCTATTTTTAGTGATATGCAACATAATTCCTCACCTGATTTGCATACTTGACTACCTAATTTGCATCATATTTGAAAATGGGAGGACTACTGAAAACTGGAAAGACGATTTTAAAGGCCTGTTGCATTAGTTGTGAGGAGGTGGTATTTACGGCAGAACACCCAACACATCCAATGATAGGTGCACTGCTACCTCCTTTTCTTTTCATTTTCCCAAATATGGCAGTTGATTCGTCTTACTGATATTTAATGAAATGGTAGGGTTAAAAATTCCAAGTTGGCGTAAAGTTGATATTTTGTCTTTGACATTTTAGCAAATTTTAATAATTGTATCTTGCATGTGAGGACTTCAACCTAGTAGATCTTTAGAAGACTAGTAAGAAATGATCCACAAGTGGTCGGGAAAATAATATTTTGCCTTAATTTTCAGTAATAAGGTTCTCAATGTACCTATAATGTTTTACAAATGTTGAGGAATGGAATGCAATTTGTCACAAACTGCCAAAATATGTAAGTTAATGTATTGTCTGTTACTGTGAAGATGATTCCGACAAAGTCTGGTGGGTAATGGGCGAATTCCAATAAAGTGACTATTTTTATTTATTCGTAGAGTATTCATTTTTTATTAATTTATTTGAAATAATTGACTATCACAAGTACTTGATGATAGACAACTTAACTATTAGTTATGTCCGGGTGGTACCAATTTTTAAAAGCGCAGTTTCGAAATATTATAAATGTGAAATAAAAACTGATGTCGAGAACAAAAGGATCGAACGTATATATAACATACGCGCAAGACAGTCTTGAAAGGTCGACCATAAGACTTGGAAACGATGCCCTCTGATGTCAGAGCCCACTATAATACTATACAAAGTCACACTGAAGCAACCTATCGCTTTCAACATTTTTGAAACGGACCACGCTCTGATACATTCACATGATGCTGATGTTGTATGTATTATTCATCTCATTAACAAGAAAAAGGCATTGACAAAAATCTGGACAAATTTATAATAAATGATTCTATTTCCTCGGAATGTACATCTGTCTAAAACAATTGACGGGCGACACCAGTCCACCCTGAGCTTCAGAGATAACATGACACTAACCTCTTCTATAGCCTATCTTCATCGTGTGATAGGCTATAGTGAAGAGGTTAGTATCAAGTTATCTTTGAAGCTCAGGGTGCAACAGTCATGTTGAATATGGAACACTTTTTAAAATCTTGGTCACTGAAAATGATTTTGAATTCAGAAAAACCACGTATCAATTACTGTGTTTTTTATGCCTGCAGATTCGTTTTTTTACTACGCCATTAAAAAGGCCACACACCTCTGCATTCGGTTTTTTGTGAACTGCCAGCAAATTTCGCACACGACGAGTGAAACTGAATATATTACGTCCTGGTTCATTCACAAAGCCTGAATTATGTTCAAGTCTTATGTGATTTTCATGAGCCAGGACAGATAAAAAGATGTCTTCCATGTAAAGGTGTTTCCATAACGACGCTTCGTTAAGACGCTTGATGACGTCATAGGATAGTATTGATGCGAATCCAGCCACATAAGGTGGATATTTGCTGTCACTGAACTGCTCTCGGGTCTGGAAGTATTTATCGCGTGGATTGCGACGCACAAGGGCATCAATGACTTTAAAACCAACAAAAAGGTTTTCAGACTTGGTCGGAAAACGTGTCAGGTATCGTATGACGCCTCTATAGTTAACGGTGACGTCATGTCCACATTTTAGGACAAAACGGGTCCAAGGACAGTACTCTTCTACCCAACGAAGGGCGAGAATAGATTTCAATGTGTAATTCTTGTACGTGTCAACAAAATCGACTTTAATTAGATCTCCAAACTGTTCGCTTTCCTTTACGATTTTTTCCTCTACACGTGGCAGTTTCGAATTTCCTACAAAGAAGACGGTTTTAATTGATTGTCCTATGTATTCCGAAACATTACCACACGTTTTTCTAAACGTCAGTCTGGACTGGAAATCTTGAGGAGCAGAAATAACTAGGACAAGTAGAAACGGTCCTTCGTCCACGCTACAAGGGGCACCAAAAATGTTTTGATACCTTTTGATATGATACCACAGGTATGGTTTCTTCTGTAGCTTTTCCTCACATACTGACGCTGGAACTAAACATTCAGTTTTCTTCTTGGATTTGTAATTCTTGACTATGTCCCCCTTGTTCATGGAAGTTATGAATAAAATCAACGAAGTTGCTTGAATTGTGAAGAAAGCAAACATCAGTCTATCTCGTTTCATAATTCTCCATTTGGTGCACCTTGCAGGCAAAACCTGTGGTTTTATATTGTCATTGACAAAGCATTAAAAAAGCTAAGTGCAAATGTCAAGGCGCATAGCTGGAAGGTACGTCTATATGCATAACGGAAAACTATCTGGTGTATTTCATAGTCAAATTCAGGTTGGCAAATAATATGAATACCACCACCAGGTATGAGTTATATACACTCTAGGCCAAAAAGATGGCCACACGTCCAATTTAATGAGTTTCTGTAGTTGTTTTAAAATACCGCATCAGAACTGTCAACAGTTTTTAATCGTGCTTTTTTTAATGATCAAAAGGATCAACATATAAAATAAAGAAATAAAATATAACAATCAGCAATGAAACTAAATAAATACCTTGATTTAAGGTGCAGAAAAGCAAGATATTGGCTTTCTCACGTTTCAATCTGGTGTGTACTATAGTGATTTCCATTGGCTAAAATGTCTATAAAAGTGAAAAGACACCTCCAAATGTCACCAAATTAATAAATAGCATAAGTTTGTGCTGTTTAAAAGCCAATAGATGCAGATTTGTGGATGAAGATATTGGATGGAGTGTTATTGTGTTAGAGGAGACACTGAGCATTCTGGTGTTGTGCTGTCCCTCTGGGAGATTTCTCGTGTAAAAATAAATAAATAAATAAATAAATAAATAAATAAATAAATAAATAAATAAAAATAACATCAAGAAGAAGAAGAAGAAAGGGAAGAAAAGAGGTGTCATACACGCTAGGAGTCATCTCGTAATCAGGATACTCCATAATTGAGCAAAAATGTTCATTAGTTCACTAGAGAGCTGGAGGAAAACAATTCGATTGCTTTCCTGGATTCATTTATCACACGTGAGAGTGATGGCCATCTAAGCCTGAAAGTCTACAGGAAGGCCATACATACCAGTGGCAGATTTGGGGGGGGGGGGGGGGGGGCAGGGGGCCCTGACCCCCCCCTTTCGGTTTTTGAAAAATATAATCACACAATATTTCC